GTACCGTCAATTAGGCAGCGCCAGCCAACGCGCAGGCGCTGCCCTCGCGCCCTCGGCACGGCGGCTCGACGCCCCTCCGCCGGGCCTCGGGCACGCAAACGCAGCCTCGCGGCTGCGGCGGCGGCAGCCAGGCTGCTCGCCTCGACATGGCTGGGGCCGGCGTGGCCGCCGCCATCGCCATCGTCCCGTTTTCCACCTACCGTCTCACGATTCGCCCACCGACACGCCGCTCGCGCGTCGTCGTGTGTGGCGTCGAGCGGGCGCCCTCGCCGGCCGCCACGCTCCCCCCTAGCGCTGCCTCGCAGGCAGCGCCGAGCCTCGCGGGCACGTCTCCCCGCTCGGCGCTCTCGGCACGGCCTCCGCCGTCGCCTCGACTCGTACCGTCTGTTAGGCAGCGCCAGCCAACGCGCAGGCGCTGCCCTCGCGCCCTCGGCACGGCGGCTCGACGCCCCTCCGCCGGGCCTCGGGCACGCGAACGCAGCCTCGCGGCTGCGGCGGCGGCAGCCAAGCTGCTCGCCTCGACATGGCTGGGGCCGGCGTGGCCGCCGCCATCGCCATCGTCCCGTTTTCCACCTACCGTCTCACGATTCGCCCACCGACACGCCGCTCGCGCGTCGTCGTGTGTGGCGTCGAGCGGGCGCCCTCGCCGGCCGCCACGCTCCCCCCTAGCGCTGCCTCGCAGGCAGCGCCGAGCCTCGCGGGCACGTCTCCCCGCTCGGCGCTCTCGGCACGGCCTCCGCCGTCGCCTCGACTCGTACCGTCTGTTAGGCAGCGCCAGCCAACGCGCAGGCGCTGCCCTCGCGCCCTCGGCACGGCGGCTCCACGCCGCCCCTGCCGGGCCTCGGGCACGCGAACGCAGCCTCGCGGCTGCGGCGGCGGCAGCCAAGCTGCTCGCCTCGACATGGCTGGGGCCAGCGCCAACGTGGCCGCCGCCATCGCCACTGTTCCGTCTTTCGCACGTCTCACGATTCGCCCGCCGACACGCCGCTCGCGCGTCGTCGTGTGTGGCGTCGAGCGGGCGCCCTCGCCGGCCGCCACGCTCCCCCCTAGCGCTGCCTCGCAGGCAGCGCCGAGCCTCGCGGGCACGTCTCCCCGCTCGGCGCTCTCGGCACGGCCTCCGCCGTCGCCTCGACTCGTACCGTCTGTTAGGCAGCGCCAGCCAACGCGCAGGCGCTGCCCTCGCGCCCTCGGCACGGCGGCTCGACGCCCCTCCGCCGGGCCTCGGGCACGCGAACGCAGCCTCGTGGCCGCGGCGGCGGCAGCCAAGCTGCTCGCCTCGACATGGCTCGGGCCGGCGCCGTTCCGTCTTTCGCGCCGTCTCACGATTCGCCCACCGACACGCCGCTCGCGCGTCGTCGTGCGTGGCGTCGAGCGGGCGCCCTCGCCGGCCGCCACGCTCCCCCTAGCGCTGCCTCGCAGGCAGCGCCGAGCCTCGCGGGCATTTAGCCCCGCTCGGCGCTCTCGGCACGGCTTCCTGCTGTAGCTCCTTGCTCGCCTGCGACGCCTGTGGAGTGCGCTCGTATCGGTAGAGGAGCGGCAGTGCGAGACCCGCCGCTCCTCTACCTCACGACATGAAAGAAGCACGAACCTTCACCTTGTGAGACCGGGAGTGGAGAGCCCCTCCCGCCTTCCCGATCTACGGGCCGCCAGTGGCGATAACGGCCGCCGCTCGGTCTCGACGGACAACCCGAGTGAAGGCGAAACGCCATATCGCCGCGACGCCGCCGACGGCACGAACCTATCCCCCACCGCGACCGGTAGTGTCGTATGGGGTGTACGAAGGGCCAGCCCGATTCGGGAGACCCGTCGAGGGATCTGGACAGCTCGAAGGCGGGGACGATGAGCTGCGGCTCGCGTTTGGGTAAGATGGCAACGGCGGAGGATGCGGCGGACAGGAGGTGCCTACGACATTATGCCGCAGCTGCACCGCTTCTCCTGGACAGCCATCGAGTACTCGATGGTCCAATCCGAGGGCGCGGTCAGCACCGCGCCGGATCTCTTCTGAGAGCCGGCGCGGATCGCGGATGCGACTCAAGGCTCTGCCGGCGGGTCTGTGGCCTGGCGCCTGCCAGACTGCGGGTCCAAATACCCCGGCGCTCGCGCGCGCCACCGCCCCCGGCGCGGGGTGGGATATCAGTTCGTGAGTTCTGTGTCCCCGTCCCTGTGCTCCACCTTCCAGTGCTGGCGATTTACTGGTAAATTAGTGGTATTTTGATTCACTAATTTACCACTCTTTTGATTCGCTCCTCGGGAGTGCGGGTATGGTATGAGCAGAGAGTGGTATGGTAAACTACGAAACTCCGTGGAATGATCAATTTTTCGGGATCTGAGCCGAGTCTGAGGCTGGTTTGCGGCCAAATTCAGCCAAAAGAAATTGGCAAAATACCCGGTATTTTGCGGGTATACCTGGGGAAACCCGGGTATACCTGGAGAATACCGTTGGCCTGCAGCATCGAATGAGCCGAAACGAGGCACGAGGGCGACGCACTTCGTACGCTACGAGGAGGTACAATTAGGCAAGGCAGCTGCGCAGGTGATGGTCCTGTTTGCAGAGAGAGGAGTCAAGGAAGGCCAAGAAATCACATGGTCATATGGGGACTCATACAGGAGCCACCGCAAGGAGATGGGATACAAGGCGGGGACGAAGGCGGATCCGAACGCAATAACACCCCAGCAAGCTCGGACGGCATTTGCGAGATACTGCAAAAAGATAGACGTGACGAAGGAGGAGCTAGCGTGGAACTTTGGATGCATATCGGCAAGCCAAAGTAACGAGCAGGAGGCTGTCCTGGTGCGTGAGCTAATCCTGAGCAACAATAAGCGACTGTACCTCGGAGCACAGAGCGCAGCAGACAGGACGGCGGCGACGGCGGACATGGCAGAGACGAGTGTGAGACAAAGGGCGGCGGGGATGGAGGGCGGGAGCGACGGGGATGGAGACGGTGACGGTGGCGAGGGAGAGGAAGGGGGTCCATTAACACCAGACAGCGAGAGGGGCAGGGAGGAAAGGGGGAGAGAGGAAGCCAACGGCGATGCCACCAGCAGCAGGGGACACGATGAACAGGTAGACAACGGCCAAGGCGATGGCGAGGACGAGGAGACACGGGACGATGGCAGGCGAGACGAGGAGGACGGAGGCGAGGGAAGAGGCAGCGCCACAGTCGACGGAGGCGACAACGATGGAGAAGGGGAGGGAACGACAACGCGCACAGAGGATGAGGATATAAACTGGGAGGACGCAGCGGAGGGGATAGACGAGGGAATCGAGGGACCGGAGGGCTTTCGCGACAGCGACGATGACGACGAAGGAAGGGGAGAAGACGGAGGGGCGACACGCAGGAAGAGCGAAATCGCGAACGGCCCGAGCAGAGAGGGCGACGGCAGGGCACGAGGGAACAACGGAGGCGCTACCGATGACGCGAACCGAGGCACGGGCGACGGCGGGGACGGGGAGGGCGACAGCGACGTCGAGGTTGACGCAACGGTATCGAGAGCGCCACCCAAAAGGATTCGGACAGCCATGGAGGTCAGAGCAGGCGCACATCGCTTCCAGGGAGGGGGGCGCCCTTCTACTCACACCACATGCTAGGGGGGGGGGGCGACCCCCC